GGGGGGGGTGGTGGTGGTGGTGGTGGCAGTAGCAGTAGCAGTAGCAGTAGTAGTAGTAGTAGTAGTAGTAGTAGTAGCAGTAGCAGCAGTAGCAGCAGCTGTAGTATGTAGTATGGTACCAATACTAATGTGATAATGAAAGTAGCAGCAGCAGCAGCAGTGGTCGTGGTGGTGGCAGTGGTGGTGGCGGTAGGAGCAGCAGCGCCACAGTGGCAGCAGCAAGGATTGTAGTTTCAGGGTGAGTCTGGGGGTTTGAGCTTGAAAGAGCTTACGGATCGACAGGCCTGGAACGGCTTGGAATTAGAACCCTCAGCTGACAAACAACTTGCTGTCGTGACCGTGCCTCTCCATGCCCTTCACAACCTAGACTATCCGTGTCCCGCCGACCCACGGGTTTAGCGAGGACCCCATGCAAAAGGTGCAGCACTTGCCGATACCGGAGAGGCGAAGCAGAGAAACGCACCATGCTGCCGTTGATGTTTGGCCATCACTTGTTTTTCCTTATCGCCTGCTCTGGAAGAGGTGGTGTGGGCGAGGCAAGCAAGCAGGGGGGGCTACCGGCAGAGGAGACAGGCTGGTGGCAAGCTCCAGTCAGGGTTTGTGGTTTGGACATCTGGGCAGGATCCTGCCATGCGACTGCGCTCCAATTATCGCGAAAAATGTGTTTGCACGAACAATCTCGTCTTCGTCGCTGACCCCGGGCGACAAGCCTGTTCGTTTTACATCGGCACATGTGCATTACAAGTAGAAAATTAAACAACATGAGATGCCTGAAGGTGCCCTTGTCAATGTCATCCTTGTCGACCCCATGTTCTTTAGCCTCGATGTGCACTTCACGCAAAGCCATGCAACTATGGCCAGCCTGCGCTCTCAGACTTTGACCGACTGGATGCACTGTTGGAGTTTGCTACTGCCGGTGCCGTCGGCAGCTTCACCTGACAAGTGCAGACGCAGCTGTCTCACTAGTAAGCCATTCTGACCCATGGTGTGGCATGGATGATGTAATGAACAGCTGCACTGATGCGAAGACAACAAGATGGCAACAAAGCTTGTCCACCCTTTGATGTAGGTTCGTGAAAGGATGGTTGCATTAGCACCGGCAATCGAAGCATCAACGGGAAACCATTTCTTGTGTCTTTTTCCTCGTGAGGGTCTTCACAGTTTGAGCATACATTTTGGCCTTGCGGGTCCGAGTTTGCTCGGCAATCCTTCCTTCAGGGTTTCATCTTCGGGACGATTCTCATTTTGTGCCTTCCTTTAGGGTTTCATCTTCGGTCGGGCGAACTAGTCCGTCACCCTTAGCGGAATTAACTCGCACGTTTGGGGGGGGCAGGGGGGGGGGGCCAGGGTTCCGGGGCATGTTCCCGACCAGATTCCCGAACAGCTTCTGGGGAGGTTCGGCACCGGTTCGGGGCGGGTTCCGGCATGGGTTCGGGGGCAGGCTCCGCGCAGGCTCCGGGAAGTTTCGGCGAGTTCCGGGCAGGTTCCCAAGCGTCCCGACAGGCTTATATAGAGCTGTTTCAGGTTTGTCAATGTTAACCTCTACAAAACCGCCCCTCAATTTTAATCCCGATCCCCGGAACTCAATAATGATCCCGTGCCTGGTTTCTGAAAGAACACTTTTTCAGCCCTTCCAGAATCGCAGAAAGCGTACGTAGTAGTACTCGGACCCCCTTTCAATAATCATTCTCCTCTGCCTGGGCCTGCAGCCAGCTCAGCAAGAGCAGGCTAGCAGGCCACAGAACGAGCACGAGACCTGCGGAAGGCGAGAGGAGGCCAGTCACCAGCATGGGAGAGCAGGATGGAACATCGGAGCCCACGGGGCGAGACGGGGCTAAGCACTGGACAGCCGGGCTGATGACGCCGGTGCACCTCAGCGGCTTGGATACATCCCCACACCTGGTGGAAAAGGCGCAACTACATGGATAGGACGACCCCGGCTGGGCTATGCCGGGCTAGGGTCAGCCCAGCACGGCTATAATCTCAGCGACTGGCTAGACTGCGAGATAATTTGGGATCGGAAGAGGGCTGGCTACCGAAAACAGGGATAGGCCCGGGGCCGAGCCCGAGTGGGCGAGGGTGCGGGGCGAAAGGCGGCGGGAAAGGCCCACACAAAGAGAGAGAGTGGCTACGTCGCATGAAAACGGGCGAGGCCAAGCCGTCTTGGCGGAGCCAGGGGCCCAGGCAAGGGCATTCGAGACCGGCGGCCACTTGGATCCTTCGACTTCGACGGGCTACCATGCTGGATAGGACGCTGAACGGGCTAGGACACCGAAGCCACGATCGGTAGAGGCTAGACCAACGAGGATATCGTGCAGGCCGGCCTTAAGACGGCATACCCAAACAAGGCTGGGTCAAGTGCCATGGCTACAACACGTGGGGTGTTGGACGTTGGGATAGTGTTGGACTGATTGTTCATGATTTTTCGCTGCATGGTCCAACGCGATAAGTGTGGCATTAAGAGGATGTACACGGCGCATGGGGATAGGGACCACACGCGCAAAGATTGCATGCCCAGGCGGCGCTAGGCTATGCCCGGCGCCAGCAGGCTAGCGTGGAGCGGACTCCCGCCGGCTACAAGAAAAACTTCCCATGGCGGACGGCACAGGCTAGGACGAAGAACTAAGCCGAGGCAAAGGTGGCTAACGAGCTAAAAGAGTGGGCTACACGGACTACAGCGGGCGGCTTTTGACCTGAAGTTCGGAGAGCCTGAGGATAAGCACGTTCCGTCTAAAGAATACATTGAGCGCAAGCTCCATGAGCTAGAAACTGGAGAGTTTCGCGCTGAGTCGCTGAACGAGGTGCTATCCCGCGATGAGATAGGCCTAGAGACGCTCGTGCCGCCGTGAACCGCGGTTTTCAAGAAGGTTGCCTCCAAAGGGGCTATGCCAGCCAATCCAGAGCAGCTCAGGCTAAGGCTAACCGTAGCGCAGAATTCTCTCCTCATGATAGGGCTACATCACCCAGGCCGGCTAGAGCTCAAGGATAGCAATCAGCAGTTGTTCGAGAAGTATAAGGGTTACCTCGTGGGCGACTACTGCTACGGGCTAAGGTTCAACGAGGAGGATGGTGGCTCGCTAGCACCTTAGTGGACCGTTATCCTGAGGTACGAGAACGCTACCCGCAAGCAGATGCCACTTTGCCATGTCTGCACGACTGCCCACGAAGTGCCTGAAGGATCACCCGGCTCCTAAGTGCACCCAGCAGGCTAGTTCCGAGGCTATGGGGGCTAATTGACAGCGGCTGCCGCCGTGACAGCCCGACCCATTTCCCTACTCAGCACATCATACAAGCTTGTCGCAAAGAGAAGGCTCCTTCGTCATGATCTTCATATCGCCGCTGTCTGCTACCTTCTCACTCCAGGGTGACTTGGGCTAACTTCTCTGGGCCGCGACCGGTTAAAGCTTTTTGCACCCACGTGGGCGAGCGGCGAGAAGTGCTTACGGCTAAAGAACAAGCCAAAGCGATACGTGGCAACCTTTTCACTGACTTTGTTTGGGAGGTTTCTGGGCTGGTGGCCCAGGGGAAGGCTAGGTTCCTGGCTTTTGAACAACCGGCTATGACAACGGTCAGTGGCCTTCCACCAGGATAGCCTTGGCGCGAGCTCCCTCCACATGAAGCTACCCGACTTCAAGACTTCGTCTTCGAAGGGCTACCATCTTGGGCTGCTACCGAGCTGGACGGCTACACCATCGACACGCGTGCTGGCCGATCCAGGCGCGGAGCCGAAGCTTTGCGAGCGGCCAGCGCAGTTAGCGCTGGATACATGCACCACAGCTGGTACGACCGCCGTTCCGGATCGGGGAGATGTTGCACCACCAGCCCGGGATGAGCTACGTCACCAACCAGCCAGAACGGTGACTGGGTGCTAGGTGGCACGCTAGGAACAAGAAGCTGTCCGTATGGCGAACGCGGGCTGCAATCTGGTCAAGGATAGTCGACGTTCCTCCCGGACAACCCCTCGCTACTCAGGGCATCCTCGAGCTAGTCGGCGACCCGACAGGGAATTTCTTCGAAGAGGAGGGGCTATACCTAGAACACCCCATCTGTTCGAGGAGCAGACTTCGTGGAGGCTAGAGGACGTCCCAAAAAAAAACCAGCTAGCCATTACTCCTCGATCAAGGCATTTGTCAGGGCTACATTCGACGAGGACGTCGAGGAGGGCCTCATGGAGAGGATGACCCTTGGCGAATTCAAATCTAGGTTCGGAGGGAACCGGGTTATAGCCGCTCCGGCAGTCATCGTCGAGGACGAGGAGAAGGACAAGAAGCGGATAATCCATGACGCCACCCGCAGGATCAAGGTCAACAACAGGATAAAGTGCCGAGATAAGATCCCGGCGCCGGGGGCGAGGGAGAAGAAGCAGATCCTTCGCGCGTGGGAGGATGAGGAGAACGAGATAGCCTTCTCGAGATAGCCTTCTCCGTCGTAGGGGATATCTGCAAGGCTCACCACCGGTGCCACAAGCAACAGGCTAGCTAGCACGGCTTTAGTTGCCAGACAGACGAGGAAGAGACGATCCCGGGCGACCCGGACAGCAAGATCGTCTACGTGAACAAGGCGGGCGCAAGCAACACTGCTGACAAGTAGTGTCGCTCAAGAGAACGGCGTCTCTCATCAGCCGATCCGACGGTCCATGTTTCGACATGTTGGCCTTGTTGTATAATGCACCTCGTAAAACAGTCCTCACCTTGCGCGGCTGTGCCTATCCAGCCCACGCCTGGGTAGATCTCACAGATTCTCTCGCCATTTTTGGTTGAAGATAGATTGGCGACTCGATCTGAAGCGTTTGTGGGTCCGGCACAGACACCACAACACTTCGATGCACCAGACCCACTCGGGGCTGATAGAGCATGACTCAATCACGGTGCATGCGTCTGGCTCCGCACCTGCAGACAAATTCGCGGTCCGCGCCACCGACGGAACAAGGCCCCGACGAAGAACCGCCGTCAGGTTCATGGGTGGCGGCAATGGCGAGATGGCTCTCGCACGACATCGCCTGGAGCTCGAGGAGGTCCCGGCCATGTGGCAAGCCCAGTTGTCAGGTAGGAACCCCAAGACGTCCAACCGGGCGGGAGAACCCCAAAACTTCCTCAAGCGAGCCAAAACACAAACTCCAACGTGTGAGGCATATGACGTTACGGCTTATCGTCCTCAAGCACAACGGTCAACAGGGTACACAAAGCAACTCTCCAAGCCGAGACTTTCTGCTGCGCAGGAAGCAGGTGATAGAATTCGAGCTGTGTATTAGCCGAAATCTACGGATTCGGATCCCAAGGGACCGAGTCAGAATCACTTGCAAGCAATGAGCAAGGTACCGCATATGTCGCTCACAGACTGTCGCAGTTTAGCCGATCATTTGAATTCCGATGCTCCTGCACTGTTCCGGCTGCTGTCCTGGCGTCCTTGTTGTGGCCTGGGCTTCGTGGCAACGAACCTCCAGGTTGGGCTTCCTTGGCCCTTGGCTTTGGTCCATCACCGTGGTGATGGCCTCGCACAGCCATTCTGAAACAGGCCAAGCAGAGCTTCCACCGCCTCAGGGTTGAGGTCGGCGGTCGCGTCGTCAGCCGTGATGGCTTGAACCGTCGGAAGCGCCAACTCGTCGCTTCCAAGATCCGCTCGGCAGCAGCGTTTCTTTCCTTGTGGAATACGTGGGGCACTTCAACAAATGTGCCACACAGGCAGGAAAACGTTCTGGATGTACTCCGAGAGCTGCCTCTGTGGTCCGTTGCCGTGTGCTGGCAAGCGGGTCAACCGTGAGAACATGTTCGTGCTTCTGTGGCGATGCATGCCAAGTCGCGGCAAGTTTTCCGCGCACAATCTGCAGAGCTGTCCTGGTATGTTAATCGGTGCAGCTCGCACACCGGTCCGTGGGCGGATTCGGCGGTTTTTTCTTTGGACCTTTCGTGTTGGATCTTGGGTGATAGTAGGTTCCCTCTCAGGGATGCCTATCGATGCACGCACTTCCCTGATGGCTGTGCCATGGCGCACGTGACGATATCGACCTTACGGGAAGCCTCCTCGTAAGTTCTGCCTTTGAGCTGGCCTACAATCAACCTGCGGTCGCCACCTTCCTTCTGCATGCTGCTTTTGGGGAGTGCCCGTTCAGCAATCCTCCCTTTAGATTCTTGGGAACGACTAACAACAACAGCAACAACAGCGACAACAATAACTACACAAGCGGGCGCAGACAACCCTCAAGAGACACAGCAAAGACAGAACACCCAACACAACAAAAACACCACAATAACAAAAACAAGCCGCAACACACAAGAAAAGACACAGGTAACACAAACAACACACTTCATCCACTTGCCCATCAGAAGGGTGCTTGACCAAAGCAACAATTCCAACACGACGAGTACTCAACCAACATGGTGGCATGGGGCTGGAGAACTCCGCGACAACAGAAGCGCTTGGAGCTTTTTTCGTAAGGCTCCAGCGCAATTCCAACAGCGCCAACCTGCGTCGTGTTCCCACCAAGTCCTCACGATTACATAGCTGGAAGATGCTGCAAGTTTCTCAGGCGCGTTCAAAGGTCACAGTGCCTGGTGCTCTGGCAGTCCCATTTCAGCAGCCACGGCCAAGACGCTTCGAAAATCCTTCGGCAAGCTTACCCAGTATGAGAGCTGGAAATTCCGGCATTCTCTGGCAGCTCGTCTTCGGCTCCTCCGTGTCCGCGCTTTCTGCAACAGCTGCGGCCTGCTGATTGCGCAAACTGCACAGGCGACCTTTGAAAACCTGTACTGTTCCACCTACGTTACTGACATGGAGCCGGGCTTGGCTGCGGTTACACCCAACTCTCTTCCCGGCTTAAGCTTTCGCACAGATGGTGCGTAGTTCAATCATGTTTCTTCACGGTGCATGTATGATGATGTATGTCCTCTTTCGGTAGTTAAACGGACATACGTTACTATCACTAGCTCCCTGTAGATTGGAAAGGGAAGGTTTTCGGGCTTGAGAAAAAATCGCCGCACGGTTGAAGAGCCGTCGCGTGCCCAACACGGACAGGACTACAGAAGTATAAGGAAACTCAACGTAGCCAGGATTACCAATCTCTTGTGTCTTGATTGCAGCGGAACACCATCCCACAACGAGGTTGCCAGCGCTTGCCTGCATTTTCAGGTAAGCGCTCTTGCCTGTGTACAACTGGTCCTCCTGGGGAATGGAACAACCAACGCTCAGTAACCGCACACAAAGGACTTGAGGACGCAGTCGGCGCGCTCCGTCAGCCCTGCAGCCCTGCCCTCGTCCAGGGCACGCAGCAGCATCTGACAAGGCATCTCAACCAAGCTGCAGAAGAAAGGAACTCATTGCCATGCTTGCCTCCGCATCCTGCAGTTTCGTACCTTCCTTGATTTCACCAAGGGCCAGCTTGCGCGAAGCTTCGAGCACCTTCTCTTCCTCACGCGCAGAATGTTTTGCAGCTGCATTGCAGGTGCACAAAGATGTTCAAAGGCAGCCTGGACATTGACAGCACGGGCAGCGTCAAGACGCTGCCGAATCTCCTGGAGGCGTCACGCGTTGGCCGCCAGGGACAAGGCCGAACCGATGCTCTCTCTTCGGCCTTCAGGTCTCGGCGTTTTACTGCCGCCAGCAGCTCCAACCTGATGCAACTCGAGGCAAACCCAGGCCCTCACTCCCGGAATTCACATTTTTCCTCAACTGCCACGTCGATTTCTCGAAAATTCGGACTTCGACTGTCCTTGGAGTAAACTGATATACAAGCCGTTGCAGGCCATGTTTACACGAGCTATTCATATCCTTTCCTCCGCAAAAAAATGACTCAGTTAGTTTCGATGATCCTTTCAACTTCTAGGGGCATTCTTCCTGTTTCGTTTGTCAGGCAATGTTGCGGTTCTTTCGAAGTTGTCGCTAGCATGTTTACAGTTCGTGGAGATTTGTCGACATGCTGTGATCGTATATCATCCGCCAGCCAGCACGCAGGAAATCTATTTCGGTGTCTGCGTTAACTTAGCACGGCAAACGGCGACAGACCAAATACTGATTCCGTCCGTAATGCCAGTCTGGCATTACAAAGAGTATTAATTACAGCCTCATACTACAAGAACCGCCCTCTCAACAGCATGCAACCAATGAGGCACTTCCCAGTCCTGTCTGCTGCGCTATAGTCACATTGCTGTTGTACATTTGTGTGTCTCCACCTAGTCGATCTCTATGGTGTTTTTTATGCATGTTTTTGTCTTGTCTGCTACGTCATTAAATGGTTACCACCTCCATCTGTGCCACACGGAAACAAGAAATTGACATACATCTTCACCTGTCCCCCTAGGTTGCGTGCGTGCTCCTCTTGCCACAATTGCAACTCTTCTCGTCCATGCACTCTGCGGTGCGGCTCATGCTCTGCTCTGTTTCTCGTCGTCAAGTCATCATTTCATCTCATGTCCTACCTGATGGGTTACCATCCTGCAGCTAACAGGCTACATCAACTTGATAACACCGCTAATATTTTAGAACCCTTGGCGTGGCGCTCAAATAAAATCTCAGCCCGACTAGCCAGTGAGGAGTATTCTTGTTTCGCATGATTGTATACCGTATACCATAATCAATCGGATCAGACTCGATCTTGACGGGCGTTCCCGAAACAGCTTGGCTTTGCTTACACAGTTGCAATAGACATTGTCTCGACGGAGACCTTGTTGCAAGGCTTTCCGTGGTTGTTACTCACATATTGTCCTAACAAGTGGTTCGCAAATTATGGCTGCGAATACTGGGTCATGCCGAAAACAGTTTCGGAAGGTTGTGAGATCGGCGATGTAGCAGAAATGGTCAATTTATTGATTGTTGATGAGCTGAGTTGAGTTCTGTGGATGGTATATCCAGTCTCGATTCTGTCTGCTTTCGTTCCGGACTGCTTTCCGATGTTTGCTTTTGCGATGGTCTCGGCAAATGCCTCAATCCTCGTTGCTAAATATGCAAACTTGCCGGCACATCACCATAAGAACTGATTACCATCGAAGTACATGGACGTCTCGAAACAGTATTGGAACTGGACTCTCCAGGACCCTCGGCTGTGGTAGAGTACGTATCCCGAGGTGTGGGTGTAGATCTCAAAAAAGGCGGGCGGGCCCAGTTGAATCCATAAGACCAGACTGAAAACAGCGCAAATGTAAACGCTTACATTGACACATATAGAACTTCATTCTCGGTCTGTGTGTTTTGTGCTTGTGTCCGCTGCTGCACATGCATCGGGGATTTTTTGCTGCAAGTATGACGTCGGCTATGCCAATTCGCTCAGCCAGCGAATTGTGATCTGCGCTTGACAGATCCCTTGAACATGTTAGTACCGGAATTGCAAGCGGACTATCATATTCCCAACTACATCCAGCGGAAATACGACAAACTCAAACTCACACTGCCGGACCAATCACGTGTCTCCAGGGTTGCGTTTCAAACAAAGCTCCTGCATGAGAACGTACGGGAAGCATGCCCGTGCATCAGTGCTCGCGTCTTAGCAGGGTGCGAAGCCTTTATGGTTTGACCACATGTTCAAGTGGAATGTCAACTGGATTGTTTGATTCGCTCATGCTTGCTCCCTTGTGGAATGTCGCTTGTCATCAGGTGTCACAATTGTGAGCTGTCAGCTGATGCGCCGTGCTTTGCTTCAGCTTTTTGGTGCAAGATCTTCTTGTCTGTTTGGTAGTTTACAACATGGGCTCCATCCCTGACCGAAGGCTCAAATGGACCTGATGCGGAGGTGAGGACCTGCATCCAGTTGGCCGGAGATCTATTGCTTGGCAACCAGCAACTATGGAGGTTCTAACAATGGGTCCTTCGCAAATGGATCGTTGGCAGTTCATGACTCTGCCGCGGACCTGGGTCTTTTCCCTAGCCAGGGCATGCCAGGAGGGAGTGGGCTGGTCTGAAAGCCCGGCATCCGCCACAGCGAGTAGTTCTGAAGCGTGGACCTCTCGGTCGGGTCGGTTTTGTTGTTAAACTTCACGCATCTAAGCAAAAAGCGATTCTTCACAGTGACAATGCGAGAGATCCGTCTCGGCTCCAAAACATTGGAGCAGTTACAAGCAAGCTGACAACACTTTGGCCGCCCCACTCAAACTGGAAAACTCTCAGCGGCTCCAAACACACTGAAAACATCTCAGGGGCTCCAAGAGAATCGAAATTATTTCGGGTCACTGGCTGCGTGGAGGCACAAGAAGACGCGACGTGTGACAGGCTGCATGAATATGTGAGAAGACATGTCCATGAACGACCCTTGTTTTAGCAGTCTGAATAAACTAAATGCATTCTTGAAGCATCAGCATCGCCTTCATGGAAGACAATGATTCCGAGCAGTTCATGTGTGTTCACGCCCCGTCAGCGCTCACGCAGGTAGTTAGTAAGCTCCAGAGTTTTCAGTTTGTTTCCCCACTCCTGTACGAAGAACACACCTGGAGCAAACGGCCGCATGTTGTCAGTTTGCTTAGAGCCAAGATGTACACTAGCATAACGATCATCCCGCCACCTCCCCTGCACCTACCGTTACAAGGGCTAGCGAGAAGAGACTGCACACAGCACTCGCTAGCAGACACTCCGACTTTTTCTGTGTGTGGACCGAATCCCAGGTAGCCCGGAGAAGGTCTCTAGCGTTCTTCGCTAGCCAATCTCCAGGGTGGGACGGGTGGGCTCTTCAAAATAGCCTCCCGTTAGGAGGCCTTATTAGCCAAATGGCCACGGCCATTCGTAAACCTCAAGTAGCAAACACCTTCGACGTTTGCCTTAGCAAAACACCTTCGATGTTTTCAGGTAAGATCTTTGAATGCTAGCATTCACTGTCGTACCACGGGCACGATTGCGTACACTAGCATAACGATCATCCCGCCACCTCCCCTGCACCTACCGTTACAAGGGCTAGCGAGAAGAGACTGCACACAGCACTCGCTAGCAGACACTCCGACTTTTTCTGTGTGTGGACCGAATCCCAGGTAGCCCGGAGAAGGTCTCTAGCGTTCTTCGCTAGCCAATCTCCTTGCGTAGCCGATCGGGCTACCAGGCTCCTAGCTTTCTGACCTTTCGGGAAAAGCGCGGTGGCTTGGCCACCCTCTCCCTCTTCCGCACTCCTAGCTCTTCGTAGTAGCTAGTCGAGTGCTCCAGAAGTCGGTCCAGAATTCTCCACACTAGCGACGAACCTTCTAGCGCGACCCGGAATTCCGGGTCGAAGCTATCGAAGTTTTCATTCGTCAAGTCGTCCGCTGGCTGGTTCAGGTCTCTCCGGACCCATTGTAGCTGCAGCTCGCAGTTCTTAGCAGACAGCTCCTCGGCCGTTTCCATTAGCACCAAGGTCGATGGGAACTTCGTCGTCATCGCCTTCTTTAGCAGAGCTTCATTTGACTTGTTATCGGTGTAGCCACGAATAGCTACCCGTGAAGTTTTCTTCTCGGTGCTCTCCGGCACCCATAGCTTCACCGCTACTAGCGTCGCCAAAAGCTCGAGGGCGGCGATGACCTTGTTCGGGTCGCCCTTAGCAAAGGCACAAGGGGCCCAGCCTTTCTCGACTTCTAGCGAGAACCAGGGCCCTTGACAACCGGGTGAAAGCTCCAAAAAGCCCCCTATCCAGGCCCTCCCGTCTCAGCATCGTCGGCAACGATAGCACGCCTTCCTTGGTTTGGACTGCAGAGGCCCAGGCGTGTAGCGGGCCAAGGAACGGCCGCTCCCAGTCGAGAGCAATAGCGGCGAAGCCCAGGCGACCAAGGTCCTGGGAGAACTCCTTAGCGGTGACTCGGCCCTTCTCGGCCTTGTCCTTTAGCCAGTCGACTAGCCACGTAGCCCTCTTCTTCGAGAGGCCTAGCTGGTGGTTCGGGTAGTCCGTTTCCATGCCTAGCCACTCTACCCGGAATCCCCCCCGGGTCTTCGGCCACTTGAAGGGATAGCCGAGCGTTGCCAGGAAGAGATAGCTCAGGGGTATCCCCTGTCGGCCTTCGGCAGTCCTGCCTAGGACTCCAGGTCATCCGCGTACAGGAGCATGTCTAGCGGAAACCGGGGGCCTAGCAGGTGGTACGTTAGCCTGACTCCGCAAGCCGCGATTCTTGTCCACCAATAGCTAGCACACGAGAGCCCGAAGGTCCCGACCAGATTCACGTAGACGATCTGGCTATCGGGGTCCCCCGGGACCGTCTCTTCCGTGTCTAGCTGACACCCCATGAAACCATGTTCAGATGCCTGGTGCTTGTAGCGTCGGTGGGCCTTAGCAACGTCCCCCACCACGGAGAAAGCCACCGTCTTCTCCTCTATCATCTCCCTTAGCAATTGCTTCTTCTCCCTAGCCCGGGAGCTCGGATCTTATCGCGGCATCGGATCCGGTGGTTGACCCTGACGCCATGGGTAGCGTCGTGGATGATCCTCTTCTTGCCTTTTAGCTCGTCCTCCACGATGACCGCCAGGCTGGCGATGGCCGAGTTTTCCCCATAGCGATCCTTGAACTCCCGGAGGGTCATCCTAGCCATGAGCCCCTCCTCTACGTCCTCGTCAAATTTCTCCCTAGCGAAGTCCAGGTGCTCCTGGACCGAGGCGTAGTTGGCACCCATGCTAGCGCCGCCTCCCAAGGGGCGTTCTCTAGCGGCCATTTGGTTTGCTCCTCAAAAACATGGGGGGTCCTCGGTAGCTGTTCGAGAATCCCTAGCGGTAGCCCCTCCTCCGCTCTCCGGAGGAAGTCCCTATCTGGATCGTCAGCCGCTTGTAGCATGCCTCTCAAGAGCCTAAAGTACAGGGGTTGGCCCTCCGCCTTGTGTAGCAGGTCGGGCTCCCCCAGGTCTTGAGCCTCTAGCCAGGATTTCCAGAGTTCACGTAGCTGTGCCTGTAGCTCCTCGTCCTTAGCGAGGGCACACCCATGGTCACCTCCCGTAACCATCCGGAAGGCCTCGCGCTCGAGCTCCTTGGGGTCCTCGGTGCCTAGCTTCCGGAAGATCACCTCCAGAGTCTTCTGTCTTAGCCAGTCCCAGGAAGTCTTTAGCCACTGGAACCACGTGGGGCTTGGCACTTGCCTGGTCCCCTTCTCCTATCGTAGCAGTCGAAGCAGCTTCCATGCAAGTGTCGACCAGCATTCCTGCTAGCCACTCCCAAAGCCTAGCGGGCCATCGTTCAGAGCCGGTGGTTCGAAAGGCCGCTGTAGCATGCTACCCAGAGGAGAGCCTGGTGGTAGCGGTCCTGTGTACTTCCCGTCGTCGGTGAAGGTAGCGGGGCCCTTGTACACGAAGTCCGGCAGGCTGAGCGGGGTCTTGAGTAGCAGGCGGGTCGGCTTAGCGTAGGGCGTGCCGAAGCTGGCCTGGTGGGAGGCCACAGTGCGTAGCCCCGCCTCTAGCGTCTTTTCCATCTGGGGCCACTGCCACATGGTAGCCGGCCTCTCCCCCTGTCGGGGGCCTTTAGCGATGGTACCCAAATCCTCGGGTTGCTCGAAGGCAAGGACAGTAGCAGCGCCCTGCGCTACTAGCTCGGCAACCGCCCAAGCAAAGCTGGCGAAGATGTTGCCCAGGATAGCTCTGTCTCGCTCCTTGGCTGTTTGCTTGTCCATGCCGCGGGGACTCTGGTAGCAGCGGACCGGGCGCGGGCCGCGGTTGTTAGCAAAGGATGCTCGTGAAAAGGTCGAGCATGGCGGCGACAAAAGAATAGCGTGGAACTCGCCCGCCTTGATGCGCTCGAGGTACTTCTCCCTGGTAGCGGACTTGGAGAGGTCGTGTGTAGCACGTCGGCAGACGTCCACACATTCCACTGTAGCTGTCCAGTCGGCTGCCGAAGCGGCCTCCTTGATGCAGCTAGCCACATCCCAGCGTCGGGGGATGCCAGCAAAAAGGTAAAGCACCCGTAGCTCGTGGTTGGCCACCTCGGTGGCCGGCTGCTCGCGTGACGACTGTCAGTTAGCGGCGTTCTTCTGGTCCTTGTCGTCGGCCTTCTTGTTCTTTAGTGTGGGGCACTGTAGCGCGGGGTGCTTAGCAAAGCAGTGGGTGCAAACGTGGGCGAAGTGACACTTGTCGCCCTTCTTGCACCCCCCCTTAGCGTTGTAGCGGAAGCAAATCGGCTTCCCTTCGGGGGTGCGGCTAGCACCCTCGGGGGACTTGCCCCCCTTTCCTCTGCCTTTGCCGTTGCGGCCCTTACCCCCCCCCCGGCCCCGGAAGGGTCCACCTTGGAAGGGCGCCGGCGCGGGGTGGGGCCTTGTAGCGTGTAGAGCCAACGGCGTGGTGAAGTTGCGCTCTTTGACTGTAGCGTCCTTGTAGGCCTTGATTAGCGCCTTTCCAAAGGGCTTCCCATCTGTAGCCATGGTCTTGTACGCAGACTTGCGAATAGCGTGCTCGTAGCTGATGATCAACGGCCATGGTGGGATTAGCGATCCTGAATCTTCGCTGGAGCGTAGCCCGTAGCAGAAGTCGCCCAGCAGGTAGTCCTTGCAGCGTCCACTAGCTCGGCCCTCCCTGGGTGTTTGAGCTTGATCATGATTAGCGCGTTCTGAAGAACCGTCAGGCGGAGACGTAGCTGCTCCGGACCGGACGGAGCGGCCGTCCTGGAGCCACCCTTTCTGATAGAAAGGGTCCCGCTAGCATTCCAGGTGGGAAGTAGCACGTCGGGATCTACCTCATCCCGACTGAGGCCCTCTGTTAGCGGTTCGGCACGGAATTCGCCGGTCTCTAGCTCGTGCAACTTCTTCTCGATGTACTCCTTAGCGGGGATAGGCTTGTCCTCGAGGTCGCCGAACTGGGTAGCGAAGGCCTGGCGCATAGCGATGTAATCCGTCTGTGGGATTGGTTTAGCCCATTCGCGAACCTCGTTGGTAGCTTCTGCCTCGGCCTGGCTCTTGACCCGAGTCTTAGCGGTCTCCCAGGCTACGACCAAGCATGCCGCCGAGCTAGCGGATTTGGGTGTGTGGATGTGTGGGTGTGTGGGTGTGTGGGTGTGTGGGTGTGTGGGTGTGTTGGGGATTGATCCGACTTGAGGACCTCGCGGAGGTCGTTAGCGTCACTGACGAAAGCAGCGAACTTGGAAACTGTATCGATGGTATTGTCGTAGAGCTTAACTTGCACCTCCTTGCTCACCTTGTGGTGCGTTAGCAGAAAGCGAAGGTCAGAGGACCCCTTGAGAAGCTTAGCTTCAAGGTCTTCCATGGCTAGCCCTGCTCTTCAAAATAGCCTCCCGTTAGGAGGCCTTATTAGCCAAATGGCCACGGCCATTCGTAGACCTCAAGTAGCAAACACCTTCGACGTTTGCCTTAGCAAAACACCTTCGATGTTTTCAGGTAAGATCTTTGAATGCTAGCATACACTGTCGTACCACGGGCACGATTGCGGATCTCCCCTCCACAGTCAGGGGGATTGGCGACCGATTTTGCGAAGTATCGAAAAAGTGGATGAACTAGATGAACCAAACGCTCTCCTCACTCTCTTTGCATGTGGCGTACTCGGTGGTCGCCTCCTTTCCACGTGGCGGAGCAACTAAGGAGCGCTGGCAGACTTGCAGATTCTTGATTCAAGATTCAAGTATACTGATCGCAGATGTTCAAATCAGGTGTGTTAATGGCAAAATGCCTGGACAAGTGCGCGGCAGATGGCAGCTCTGCTTGAGTGAAACGAAAAAGCGCCTTTGTCTCACCATTCTTCAGGAGCGGTCCACGGGATCATGAAGTTTTGATCTGTTTTCACACTAAGAATTTCTGATTGGGTCATCGGAGTACATGCAAGTGGCGCCCTCCCTTCCTCGTTCCTCGCTACCTCTATCCAGGTGTCTGTGATGGAGTGCGGGCGGATCACCAACCCGGGCCACAGTCGGATCTATTCCCCTCGTTTGAAAGTCCAGAAAAACCGAGGACCCAATCCCTGCCCGCTTGGAGGCGCTGGACCGGGGTGAACCAAGCATCGTCCGATATCGCCCGTGAGCTATCTGCTCCGATGCCCAACTGACTTTGCTCTCTCGCAGAAAGCGCTAAGCCAAACAAGGCCACATCCTCCTCGCAAGATGCCAGCAGCTCCTATCGTGATAAATCATGCGATGGGCCGCAACCAAGCTCCCCTACTGGGTCGACGGCTCACGGATTAAGCGCCAGCCAGCCGCAACCTCATCTTCCTGCGAGCACGTTTCAGAAGAACCCACAGCACATGTTGCAGCCACAGTCACGTATCCAAGCCTGGTGGGACTCGACGACCGCTGCTTCTGCTTCTGGCACCAAGCGCAGCAAAGCCTCCAAGTCTCGAGCCTTGCACAGAGTTGGAGCATCCATCGTTGCAAAGCTCATACTGCAAGCGCCTCGACAGCATCTGCCATCTCCAAGAAGACAAGTATCTTGCGTGCCTGCATATTGAAGAGCTGACATGTGATGCAGTATGCCCTGGCGGCTTTCACTGTTCCAATTGGGGAAGGTTTTCTCCTTGTGCCACTTCTTTCTGGAAGATTCGATGTGGGTCCGACGGAAGATTCCTGTTCTCCCGGTTTCTCCCTTCCCTCCGGGTGCCGTACGAAGAGTTGAAAAGGCATCTGTCAAACAAAAAAAGGCTGCAGGGCTTACGGCCCTTTCTTGCGCCTCCCGCCTTTCCTCGTCGGTGCCATTTTGAGACAACGCAACGAGAGCCTCCAAAGTCTTGGTCTCATGTATTCTACGCTTGTAGCACGGAGCAAGCTGTGGTGATTCAAAGTCTTTGCTGTGCCTTGCGCTCATTTTGCCTCCGTACCTCCTCCTCTTGCTCCCATAGCCTGCTCAAGAACAGAAAGGTCTACGAGGAGGCAGTGGGACAGGAGCGTCAGCACGAGCTTGGGCTGTACCAGCCTTTGTCGTGCCCGACCTCAGCGCTTGCAAGATCTTGCAAGCTTGTACGGAAAGGGCGGTGCTCTCCATGTCTTGGCTTCTAGATCAGGCACGGGCTGAAGAGATCGGCATCCTCGACACTTGCCTGGTGGCTTTGTAAAGTCTGGGAGTGCACAATTTCTTGCAGGGCAGTCTTCAAAAGACAGGGGACACTGATTTCGATGGGCCTTGCAAGTGAAGAGCAACTTATAACATGCTCATCACAGGAGTGGGCGAGGTGCTTGTTAAAGCAGAGTAGATCGCCCTCAAAAGCCGGGGCAGTGGAGAGCAGCCGGCCAATCAGTTTGATCTAACACGCAGCCGAGTCTCACTATTGCGAATCGGCCTTAACCCTGACACACGGCCAACGAGAAGACTCGGAGCCTCTTCGGCTGCCAGCAGAGTCCGCTTCAGCTCCAGAATGTGTTCTTCCACCGTAAACCTTGCCTTTCACAAATCAACTCCAACTCGCGAGCTGCATTTCGAGTCGAGGACCGTGCCTCCGTGTTCAATGTCAGGGCCACCTCAAGTTGGGCAAACCTTGGGTTCGACATCAAGCCGCAGTCACATCGCGCGACTGCTGGGGCAACGACCGCTGCCGCATTGGCAACATGAAGCTTTCCTGACAATGATCGCCACGGCAGCTGCTACATCCAGAGGGGCGTTGAGCCCGCCTCAACTTGCACTGTGATGCCTGCATTTATTGCCTCGCCCAACTTCTCCTGTGCTCGAAGACGGCAGATGCAGGACGGTTCAATTGGCAGGGTTCGGGGCACTGGCCACGATGCGAGTCCATTGCCTCCGAGTTTCCACGTTGCCGCTCTCTGCGAACATCTTCATGTCCTCAACTGAGTATAGCTTGTTGTCGTGGGGGATGCTCTCATCTTTGTAGAGCCTACGCAGGGCCACCCGCTGCTATGCATTATACCGCGGCACACTGGGGATTGCCTGAGTGGACAGGTCTCGAACTATGCTAGCCTACGCAGGCCTGAACGGTCTTGTCATGTTTGGTCTTTGATTCTACCACCTCAGCCTCATTCTATCTGGTGAGCAAATCAAGTGTATGGACAGTGTATACGACGAGAAGCACAAAAGTCCTTACGAAGAATATGACTACGCCTTTCGTGCGCGAAGTGCAGGCCGCAACATCCGACTTTGACTTTACACTCCCGCGAGGCCTATACTAAACAGCCAGAGCTCGAAATCCCAAAGTTGGCTACTGTACCAGATTCCGAGGCACCACTCTGACACTGTCTTGCACACCAAGGGGCTGTTAAACGCAGGCTAATGTGTGCGACTCTTCGATTGTTGAAAGACTGTATCGTACTTTACAGAAGGAGTCAAGCAAGGTGCAAAAAGCTTCCTTTCGGATGATGGCGGAGGTTCCGCTTTGTATAAACTCCCGCAACTCAAGCTCTTTACAACCTCTTTACACATGAGACGGACAAGCGAGCGGCAGTCCTCCCGTGCTTCATCCTGGGCTTTCATCCAATCACACTCCTGACACCAGGAGTTACATCGGACTTGTCCTTGACACAGTTGCACGCTCTTGCTTTAATTGTTCGTCTGCAGGTTGCAATTGCAATCGTCTCACCGGAAATCGTGCGGCGCTGCTGGGAGCTCTGTGCTTCAAGCCCGAGCCATGACAGGCCGCTGCCCGCTGCCTCCCTGTGCTGATATGAGCTGATACACCACACCCTGGCTTGGGAACATCCTGAAGGATCTTGTGAATGTTGTGCCGCCTTCAAAAAATACAACATCGGATACGTGTTGCGTCATGACCTGCCCCCGAAATGCCAAGCAGGCTCCGGTGGGCTTGTGCGGCACTCAGGCTCCTCTTTCTGCTCCACTGGCATCAACTCGTAGACCGCGCGGTATCTGCGCAGGAAGGGGAGGCTAAAGCCTTTTGCCAGGCTTGCAAGGCTTCCTCGAACCGCTCTGAGCCGGTGGCGTTTCCAAGGTCTGCTTTTGCAGAGGCTTGATGACCTCCTCCTCAAATTTCCTCGCAACGGGAGCAGCCTCCCCAAGTGGGCACCGGTCTCCGGTGAGCACAGGGGGAGCGCCACGGTCCGCCCAGGAGCACAGAATCATGGCACATCATGGCGCACTGCAGCGCGCAACCTAATTGCCCCCACCAGCTGTGATCCCACCCCGTGTGCGTGGCAGTGTGCAGAGCCGGCGGCGCGTGCAAAAATCGCTGGCTCTGGTTTCTGCCACATGCCGTCCTGGCTGTTCGTTACCGCAGTACCCTGGCAGGAGGGAAAAGCCCAAAAAATTGAGAGGCAGATCAACCGCAGTAAACATGTTTTCCCCATGTTGCCCTGTGACTCTGGAGGACATGCGAAGTGCATGCAAGCCAGCTAAACTGTGAGCATTTATAAGCCTGCCGTGATTTGCTACGAATATCTACGAATGTCTTGCTGCCCTGGATTCTCTCCAATCCCAGGCCCACGGAGCATCTCCTGCCGGCAAACGTGAAACGAAGGAAATGTACTATGCGGGAAACTGTGCGCGACTGCTTCCTGCTTCAAGAAATGCAGATCGTCTTCTAACGAAGCCTGCGACTCTGCCCATGTCATACCTGCACATGGTTGGGAGCAGAATCAGCCCCACAGCCTGTCCGTCTCACAGCATCGCCCGTAAATGAACTAGCCATCGCAAGCCCGCAGGCTCGCTTCGCGATGGCGGAGAGATACTGAGAGTGTAGCCTTTGCGTCGTCGCGGCATTGATCGAATGGGACCGAAACCTTGATTCAGCTTCAATCCAATGCAAAGTGTCCTTCGGCTACCTGCCAGGACGCGAGCTCACCAGGAGTTGCATGCGAGACTTCTTGGCAAAGTACACTTCCTCGGTTGGTGGCAGCATATGCCGTCTGAAGGTGCCCCACCTACGAAGTGCGTACAAAACACCGCGAGGCACCAAGTACGCACCATGGGAGTATGGTCCTGACGCAGAGATAATCCCTCAAGTTACAGCAATGTCATAATCATGGCCGGCTGTCCCTGTCCATTGCCACAACGAGCTTGACTTCTTTCCGACTGGACGGGAGGAGTGACAAAACCAACAGCTGCCCAAAACCACAAAACATCAGGGTCTGTCAGTCCGTCTTACCTTGTGCAAGGGCTTGGTGACAGGGGCCTCAACTCTTCAATGACAAAGTCCACCTTGTCAGTCTCGCACCGTGGATTCATTCGGGGCAGGCGGTTCGCCTGATCCTTAGGCACGCGAGGAAGGGCTCAAGATGACCACATGATGCAGGCTCCACAGCAGAGAAAGTCCCTGACAATGCAGAACATGTCTACGAAGTACCGCCTGCGACGGGATCAAGCATTGCAGCATGGTTTCTGGCCCGGGAGCAGCACAACGCCTCATGAGCGCTTCGGGGCGTCGCCCATACCTCAGTACAGTGCTACAGAGGCTACAGCAGCCGTGCTTCAAACCGGCATCCCACGACCGGATGAGGCGGCTACTGTTCATGAGTTGGGTCTAGCTTGGGCTGCGTAAAGCCAGACGCATGCATGGCGATCGCGAGCAGCAAATCTTTCAAGAGGCCCTTGCAGTGTCAAGCAGACTCAATAAAACGGTTCTCCAGTCAGCCTGTCCGTCCTTCCACGAATGCGCCACGTAACTCTCAGGGCTCCAAGAGTGGAAAAACTCAGCGTAGCAAGCACCATACCTGCGCAGCACGAACATGTCGCTCAAGCAGCAAGACACCAGCTGAGACTTGGACCTTTTGCACTCGGGTAATACCACCACGTCGACAGCTTCCTAGTCGATGCTGCATTGCATCTGCATTGCCGCTGTGTTCGAACCACTTGGAACATGTGCTCCGGCGATGCTTTTGCCGCAACACTTCCACTGTCCTGTCCTCCGTGGTCGAGTGCTGCGCTACAAGGCCAACGGATGTCGAATCCTGTACCAGCATGTCAATGGGGCATCCAGCTTCAGCTTCATTGCGGAACATGCACCAGTCCCTGCGAAGGTCCAGCCTGCCAGAACTTCAGCATCATGTCGAGCCGCATAGCCCTTTTGCAGATTGTCCTGGGAACGATTAGGCAGGATGATTGCTAGCTAGCTCTGAGCTCTCCGTGACCTGCCTTACAGTTGCCGCTGCAACACTCAAGTTGCGGAGGGTGTCCTTACGAGCAGCTGAGAGAATGGAGAGGCTTGAGCCCTGCTCTCCGGACTTGACGCACTCTTGATGCAACAGCCAACTAAGTCGTGATGGTATGCGGAAAGGATTGCAGTCCTCATCGAAGCGGCTGGAAATGTTATGCCCCAGGCTACAGGTGAGGTCCTGGATAGATTCCACCGACTGGGGAGCCACCAGGGTGATTACTGAAACTCGTCCTTCTTGCACATGCGGACGAGTGCAGAGACCTCAGCGAGCCAACTTGGCACCGCACAACACATCCGGCGAAGTGGAAATAAAGTCTGCGCTTACATCTCACACGTTGCGGGTGGCCCAAACAGAAAGCCTTCGCACGGCAGGTCCCGTACTTGCTTGGATCCATGTAAAGCTTCCGCAAGTGTCCATGCTGTTGGAACGGCTGCCGTCACGGTCCAAGAGCTGCGCAAAGCATGTGATACCTTGATCAGTGATCTTGTTGCGGTCAAGCCTCCAGCTGATTCAGGGTATGCCATGATGGACTTGCTGCACAACATCTTGCTGCGCAGCCCATCATGCTGCAAGTGCCGTAAGACCGGTGCGCCAAGAGCCTGTGCGTAGATTGCAATGATTGCATACTAATTGTGCACTCCGCGTGCACTCTCTCTGAAGACTCCATGCGGAAGCACCTCAAGAGACCATGCGCTTCCATGGCGGCTGCCAGGTCAAGACCACCAGCCTGAGGAAGGCTGTGTTCGTGAAGCCAATCAGAGCTACATGCAACGCCAAATGGCAGTAAGATAAGCTGGGCGTGCAACGTCCTCGATTTTGTTGTTCGTGAGCCACAGCTCCCTGCAGACCAGGCTAAGCGGCTACACCTCTTTTGCAACTGTCCCCCTGGAAAGCACCTCAATTGCTGCTGTCGAGGGAGGCATTCGGCCAAAGCGCTGGCACCCTCATCCGCGACATCTGACCAAGACAGGTGCAGCGACACCAGGCCACAATCCTTAGATGCTAGTCAGCCACAGAATTTCGTCCAGGAAGCTATTTGTGTGGCCGACCTTGCCGAAGGCTTTTGCAAGATGCGTAGCACCTTCATTGCCAACCTTGTTTTCGCTCAGAATGAGCTCCTTCGGGTCGTCAAGATTCTTAACCAGTAGGACACTCGTACCCTCGCAGACACGTCCTTGAGAGGGTGCTTGCTCACCTCGGCACAGAGGGATGCATCAGGCCGGCCGCACTTAGAGCAGCCCTGACAGGAAACGGGCGCATTCTGCCACAGCCATGACCCCGAGAGCTCCGATTTCATTGCCTCCGTGGGGCTTGGTCTCGGCTCGTGGGGCTCGGTCAGTTTCAGACCACAGCAACCGACCTGCCAGCTGCAGCTGCTCCAACTCTTTGGGCAATACCTGCCGGACATGCTTCCAGGCTCTTTTAAACATTACAGCGCAAAGCACGCCCCCAACAGCCTGAGCCAGTTCTTGCGTCACCTTATGCATCACGTGCCATGGAGCGCTGATTGTACTCGAAAGTGGGACAAGCTCAGAAAATGGGTTTCAGATCAACGACGCCGCTGAGCAAAGAGAGAGAGGGCACACTCAGGGGGCAGTCTCGAGCTTGAGGCTGCCCATGACAGTGTATGGCACATTATGACCTTCGCATTGCCGAATGTTCGATAACCACGTAGTTAGAGTTCCAGATTTTGCGAAAAGCGGAGGTTGAGGCAAGGATTGGCCCAAGGATTTGGACGTTGAGCCGAGCTTTCGCGAATCTTCATCTTCCACACAACTTCCGCAATCCACGTAGGAATCCCCACAAACCTGATGTTTCTCCCGTGCTAGTACTAGTACAAGTACTAGTACTAGTCCGAGTGCTAGTACTGGCACTGGTGCAATAGCACTGTTAGTAGCGGTGGCTCTGAGTGGTGGTGGTGGTAAAATTAGTAGTAGTAGTAGTAGTAGTAGTAGTAGTAGTAGTCGTCGTCGTCGTCGTCGTCGTAGGAGTAGTAGTAGTAGTAGTAGTAGTAGTAGTAGTAGTAGTTGTCGTAGTAGTTGTAGTAGTAGTAGTAGTAGTAGTAGTAGCAGTAGCAGTAGCAGTAGCAGTAGTGGTGGTGGTGGT